GAGCTTAACCATTTGCTAAGGACTCCAAAAAAAAACACCATAAACAAAGTCAAAAGACAACTAATAAACCAGAAGAAAATATAAAATATCATAGATATTCCCTTGTCTACTATTGTAAAATAGTCACCTGAGTGGGATAGAAAGGCAGATCAGGAAACATGATTTACAGAAAACTTGTAAGCCTGTCTTCAGCTTATAACTGATTAGAATACCTAAAAGGGGTTCTAGAATTTGTCCAGCGAAATAAGGCATCTTGTGGAGCCTGTGTAGTGTACATAGAACCTTTGGTGGAATCCTGAGCCCTATCCAGAACCTTCTGATGTGGGACATTACCACTGGAAAAGACAAGCAGACCATCTTGGAACAGGTAGAACAACAGAAGACATTTCTTGAAAGAAAGATGAGCAGTAAAAAAAACAAGACAAAAATGGCAGTCTGATTGGCTACTACAAGAACAAGCAAGCTGTTTGCTGGGAAGCCATCAAGGCAAGCAATCAAGTCCCTTCAGGAAAAACCCCTTTCTAGGACTGAAACTCAAAGGGAGCACATGAGCAGGCATGTAAGCTTGCTGGCAACCACATTATTCTTCTAGTGAGTGGAAGAGGGGGGAAAGACAGCAGTGAAGAAATGGGCTGAGTTTGACAAACTTCCACAGATTCCTGTTGACCTGGAGATGAGAGAAGAGGAAGGGCTTGTTGGTTCGAAGTGTGGTGAGACCTGGGGACACTTGAGCCCATGGACAAGGACATAAGCCACCAAGGGCTAGAGCTGAGAGTGAAGCATCCAGCTGATATGAAGTGAGGGGAGTTGCACAAGAATGCCCAAACTTGCAGATAGTATCCATTTTACCTATCCTTGATGGCTTGATAATCAGAACTCAACTAGAAGAAGAAGAAAAAACAATTTTTGATAAAAGAAACAAGTGTAAAGTGCTACAATTTGATGAGCTTGACCTATACTTATGGATGTAGTAGCTCAAAATACCAAATGAGAGGGAAGGAGTCTTCACATCAAGCATCAATCCTATCCAATCTATCTATATACAGGGTTGATGGGGAAGGGCAACTTAGACATTGGCTACCTAAAATCAGGGGACAATAAAGGCACAAAGTGACTGGCTTACAAGTTTTCAAGAGGGAGTTTTGTTTAAGAGTGTGTGGAGCAACATAGAGTCCCCACTGAATAGTTTTGACTCTAGACTCATGGAAAGAGAAAGACTGAGTGCTGGCAGCCATGTGACAGGCTTGCAGAATGTGCCTTTTGATTGTTAAAATTATTACATATTCCTAAGCGTTTTTGTGTACATTCCCCGAAAACAAAATAAAACAAAAAACAGATGGAATAGAAGCAAATACTGTTGAATGATGATGCATGGAAGAGATTGTAATCATTGCTATAAAATGATGAGTATAAAACTGATGTTCTCCCATGTAAACTATCACTCAATTCCAATAAAAACTTAAAAAAAAAAAAAATAGTGAGTCAAGATTACCTTATACCGATAAAGCAGTTCACATGTCCTTGACAGATGAGTGAATACACAATGAGGGAAAAATAAAAATTGGAAAGCAATTTGTATCTAACGTAAGTGCTGTGGGCAACTGCATGGTTTGTTGACCTTAGGATTCTAAGTAATGGGCAATGGTTGTGTACTGAGCCTAAGGTGTAATGTCGTAAGGTTTTCTCAGAGATACTATTGTTCGTTCAGAAAATAATGTTTTTTCTAAATCAGTTTAATCTGTAGATTATACTATTAAAAAACAGAGTCATCTTTATTTAAAATCAGATGTATACATATTGGACAATTCATCTTGTGTAGCCGTTTTTTAAATTATATCATCTTTCAAATCTATAGCTATTAAGCACTGGAAAATTGCTGTGGAACCTAGAATGTTTTCATCTAAATGCATTATAATGCCAGAAGCAATGTGAAGTCTGAGATAGTTTCTATGATCTTTGTATTTAAACCCATTAGCTATAGGAATTACAGAACTCACCCTAAGCCATTTTATTATTGACAAGCTCAAAAAGGTTCATTTGTTCCATGAACTGGGCTATGAAAAAAAATATATCCTAAAGGAATTTTTAATCTTAGAAGAAATATCTTTAAAAATTAAAGATATTTGATAGGAAACTTATATTTTACCCCCAAATAAAAAAGCTATATTGCTTAGAATATGCAAATGAAAAGCATAATAGTATATGCCAGTAAGGCAATTTAAAATATCCCCTATTGCCTTCAAATACTTTCTGACAGTCACAGCAGAATTCAAGATTCCTTTAACTGGTTTAGTCAAATGTTTAGGAAATGCTTAAAATATGTGAAACTTATGAAATGTATTCACAGCAAAATAAAATTTGATATTTACATCAAAGACTGCTTAAATAAGGAAAAGAAACTCTGAAACATTAAAAAATAGTTTACATATTATTATATTCCTTTAAAGAGGTAGGTTGCTAAGATGAAGTTTAATGCCTAAATTTGATTTTTGCCACTGATTGATCCCAGGGTTTAGAATAAATTTCTTTTCTGACAAGTGGACACAATAATGATTTGCTTCTAGTAGATGACAGATCATATTGCAGCATACATTTAACTCTGCTTGGACCCTGGGGAGTTTAAATTCAATGTACTTATAATTTGAGGTCACATTCTTTTTGGTAGGGAGCCCTGGCAGCACTGTAGGATAAGCACTGAACTGCTAAGTTCAAATCCACCAGTTGGTAGTAGAAAGAGGAAGCTGTCTGTGCCTGTAAAGATTTACAGTCTTGGTAATTTACAGGGTAGCTATGAGTCCAAATCGACTTAATGGCAGAGAGTTTGGACTGGGTTTACTTTCTGAGAGATAAATTTTAGTGTCACAAAATAAAATCTACGAGAAAAAGTTCTAAAGATTTGGTTGTCAAGTAGTTTTTGCTTATTTGGTTTTTTTTTGTATTTGAACTTTGGTTTGGGGTTGGGGAGAAAATGTTTTTATTCAGTTTGGATTATCTTGATCAGAAACATATCTAGGTTTCCTTAAAGGAATTGTGAGTTTAAAATGAAATTGAAAATTGTCTAGGATGTCATGATCCATCTACTATCCAATATAAACATTTTATAAATTTTTGATGACTTCAAATCATGTCCTATATATAGACACAGATTCCTGTAATCTGGGAAATGCCAGAACTTTGTCCCAGACATCCCTTAACATTGATGTACCAGAGAAGTTCCCTTCTGTAATTTTTATAGCATCAAAAAAAAAATCTTTTATATTATAACTGATAAATGGTTTGAAGATAACTCCAAGTATTATTAATGTTTTAGCATAAGTATTTAAGAAATGTAAGCTCAAAATTTACAACTTAGTTGTCCATCAAAACAGTACTATGTTGTTGTTACTAAGTGCCATCAAGTCGGTTCTGACTCATGGCGACCCTGTATAGGGTTTCTAAGAAGCAGCTGGTGGGTTTGAACTGTCTATCTGCCAGTTCAAACCAACCTCACAGTGCCACACTAGGACACGAGATAAATGTTCTCAAGTTATTTCCAACATCTCTTTATAAATGTATGTCACCGATTCAAGTAATTCTCGAGAACTTCATAGGGCATAGGATCACAAGTCCCCCCTGACTGCTGTTTCTGGTACAATAATGGAGGACTCCGGATAAGGAACTCTGGTAGCGTAGTGGTTATGAATCGGGCTGCGAACCGCAAGGTCAGCAGTTCGAAACTACCAGCTGTCCAGCGGGAGACAGATAAGGCTTTCTGCTCCCATAAAGATTTACAGCCTCGGAAACCCTGTAGAGGGTCACTATGAGTTGGAACTGACTTCACAGCATATAACCACCACCACCACCACTGGATATCTGATAGCGTAGTGGTTATGAATCGGGCTGCGAACCGCAAGGTCAGCAGTTCGAAACTACCAGCCACTCCGCGGGAGAAAGATGAGGCTTTCTACTCCCGTAAAGATTTACACCCTTGGAAACCCTGTACAGGGTCGTTATGGGTCGGAACCGACTCGATGGCACTTCACAACAACAAACCACTGGATATAATAAACTGGACTCTTGGTGAGTCACTGTAGGATAAGCACTAGATCACACACGGTCGATTTGAGCCACAAGGTTTGATGGTTCAAACGTACTAGCTTCTCCACAGAAACCCTATACAGGGTCGCTATGAGTCAGCACTGACTGGACAGCACTTATCAACAATAACAGCTACATGTAAGATAATCATGTAGTGTTAGTAACAACTGCCCTACTTCAAAATATTTGTGAAGAAATGTTTGTCAAGAGTTCTCAGAAGAATGTTTGCACTAAATCCAACCTGCTATTGTCTTGTAATCAATCATTCACAAACTCTAGTCTCCATGACTGTAGTCACCTACTCCCTTGCCCACTTTTCTGTAGCGTTACCTCTCTCAGAAAGTTGGAGCATTTTGGTGAATCATCACTATATTCAGATGATCCAGATTATTCCTTCAATAAAACTCTTTGTTTTAATTTTATTGGAGACTCCAATTTGTTTTTTAAAAACTGAATGAGTAAAAAACACTTTCTTAGAAATATCTTGTATTCAAAGAGACTTGTGCCTTTCCCCAGACCACATGAACTTTTATTTTACAAGTCAAAATCCACTGCCATCGAATCTATTCTGACACATTGTATAGAGAGAGTTTTCAAGGCTGGTGGGTTTGAACTGACAAATTCCCATTGCTTATCCTACAATACCACTGGAACTTCTATTTATTTAACTACAGAATTATGAAATTTGGAATATGAACTTCATGTTTTAGGTAGAACTTTATGATTTATGGCTGATTAAAATAGATGTTCATCCTAGCTGTGATGGGTCATGGTTTTGGACACGTGGGGGTACAAAACTAACATGAATGTGTAAAGATAAAGATAAGATGATAGTAACAGCCCACTCAAAGTATACTGGTGCAGCTAAAAAAATTATCTTTATCTGGAAGTTTCCATTTGCTTTATCATCTTTAGATAGTTACCTTCCTACAGAAGTTGCAGTAGTGAGCGAACTCCTTCTCAAAACATGGTACACAATAATTTCCACTCTCTTTTGAAATTAAAGGTTTAGTTCCTATTGGTTGGCGACAATGTTCACACACAAAGCAGGTTTCATGCCAACAGTTTCCCTTAAATTCCATTTTGCGAGAACCTGTATTACAAAAGTAAGAATCTGTTAAAGCATAATTTTATTTTCTTTAAGCAAAGTTAAATAAAATTACTTTAAATATATATAAATATTTTAAGGTTAAAATGTTGAGATAATTGTTCTTATGGGAAAATAGTGTTTTGTCAGTTGGAAAACATTCACCTGAAATAAAATAAAAAAGGTTAGTAGAGTTTACCAACAATGATGATGATGTTGTTGTTGTCAGGTGCCA